GCTTGGAGCCTGGAGCCTGCTTCAGATTCTGTGTCTCCCTCTCTCTCTGCCCCTCCACCACTCATGCTCTCTCTCTCTCTCTCTCTCTCTCTCAAAAATACATAAACATTAAAAAAATTAAAAACAAAGAGTGAGAGAGGAAACAAATGACACAGTGGGAGAAAACTGAGATTATAGAGGAATACATAGTAGAGAGAAATGGGTGATAGAGAAAGGGATGAATGACAGAGTAAGAGGAGGATAAATAAGTAGATGAGAGACAGAGACAGACAGAGAGGGAGAGAGAGAGAGAGAGAGAGAGAGATGATAGCCTCTTTAATTTATTCAGTCATTTACTGTGGCAGGCTCCATGCTAGACACTAACAGTGCAGAGTTGACTAAGATAATGGCCCCTGTTTTGAACAAGCTTGTAATCTAGTGAGATAAATCAGCTCTCTACCTCCTAGGAGCAGTAGTGGATAGACTTGAGCTGGATTCCATCCTGGCTGGGAATGCCCCTCACCCTAGTGGAAACACAGAAAATCCCAGCAGTACAAGGTTCTAGAGGCCCAAGGCCTAAAAAGGCAGTCCTGAGGAGAACAGCCTTGCTAGGGAAAACAAGGGTTGAGTGGTAACAGGCCAGACATGGACAAGGAGGTGTAAGAGGAAGGGCAAGGGAAGCTGCTTGTCAAAGGTCAGGAACCAGAGCCACAGGTCAGTAGCACTGGCTAGATTTATGGGGAGGAAAGCCAAGTGAGGCCCCCACTTTTAACTATAGTGTTCTATTATGGGTTTCAAAATGCCCAGCAGGGAATCTAGAGGTACAAGAAGACCTTAGAGCAGGAGGAGGTGGGGTGCCTGTTCCAGAGTTTCACACACAAAGCCATGTTGTTAGAAATCTTTCCAGCTAATATTACCTGGTAGTCATCCAATAACAACTGTAGATAAAGCTGACAGAAGTACTGTGTATTGCTACATACTAAGAGCCATGTGTTTCTACTAGGTACTATGCTTCCAGGCGCTGAGATACAGTGGAGAACAAGGCACCTCTCTTATTTTGGGCCCTTCTTCCACATCCAGGATTTCTGAAGAGTCCAGGATTTAAAATGTGAGTGGTCAGCCTTGATACCATCTTCCCCCAGCCATCCAATCTTTCATTGAGTTCTACTGGGTCTTCTTTTATATCTTTCTGGCTTTGTCTCTCTCTCTCTCTCTCTCTCTCTCTCTCTCTCTCTCTCTCCATTTTCATTGATTCTATTCTACATAATTACACTTCTCCACAGAACCCACCACCAACACCTTCTGTTCTAGTCCAGGCCCTTAACACTATAATGTCCAAAATACCATGTCAGTCTGCCAGCCAGTCTCTCATTGTTCCATCTCCAGTAATTGCTTTTGGGTCATATCACATCAAACACCAATTGAATTGTGGCACTCACCTATTCAAGAATCTTCCCTGGCTCCATGTTTCTTCCCCTGTCCTGCATCAAATATAAACCGGGTGAGATGTTCAAAGCTGTCTATGAGCTATCTTTACCCACCTGGCCCAATCTCCCATATCTGTGCTCCAGTCATGTCCTGTAGGCAACTTTGCACTTTTGCCATTGGTTCTCCAATAGAATCTAGCACAGGCTCTGTAGATGGACCACCTTGGTTTGAATCCCAGCTCTCCCACTTATGAGACTATTACTTTGCACAGGTGACTTCACTTCTCAGAGCTCTAAAATGGGGATAAAATAGCTAATTCGTGGGGTTGTAAAGATCACATGAGACAATGTATGTCGAATGCTTAGAACAAGGTCTGGTAAGCCCTCAGCCTATCTTAGCTATTACTCTGACTATTCTCTTCAGCTGGAATCCCCCTCTAATTTTGTCAGTCTGCATCCCACCTATTCTTTAAGGTGCTGCTCAAGTACCATGTCCTCCAGGGTGCTTGCCCTTAGTAATCTAGTCCTCACAATTTATCTTATAATAATATTATGTTTTATATTGCACATCATAATTTCATGTATGACAGTCTCATCCCACCAACTGTATCAGGCCAGTAAGGAAGGAAACAAACATGAGTGAGGTGGATCTCGGTTCATATCCTAACTCTACCAATTTGGATGTGTGACTGTACGCAAGGCACTTAACCCATCTGAGCTTTGGTTTTCTTATCTGAAAAAGGGAACAATAATCCTTACCTGGCTAGGTTATGGTGAGGATTAGGGATAATATTTTCAAAGCATCTGAGACAGAGCCTGATACATAACAAGTGGTCGATAAATAGCACGTACTATAATAAAGGTTATCAGCTCAGACTTGTCCTTCTGGATTGTTCAAAAGTACTCCCACCAGATTTGTCTATCTGCTATCAAGGTTTGGCTACACCACTCCTCAGCCACAATTTGAAATGTAACTAACAAAGGCATCTACTATCTAGGGTCTCTCCAGGAGTTGGAAACAATCCCAAAGAGACAGAAGCAAGGCAATAGGGATTTGGGACCACTGAGAGAAAACCACAAGTTATGGGAAGGAAAATCCTAGCAGAGGAGCTGTAGCCAGAGCTGGAGACTTCTAGCCCTAGTTTGGAAAAGGAGAGGAAACTATCAATAGGGTCTAATACTCAGTCTAGTATTATTACTAAACATCCCTAGACTTGGAGACAGTCTACACTGACATTCCACTCCTGGCTGTGTTACCTTGGGCAAGTCACTTCTCTGAGTTGTAGGTTCTTTGTCTGTAAAACTATGAAGAGAACCCCTTACTCACAAATTATAGCCTGGATTAAATGCAACCCTGTGTGTGAAACCACTCAGTGTAGTACCTGACATACCATGAACTTTACAAAAACAGAACAGGGACCATTAATTGACCACTTAGATGTGCCGGGCACTAAGCACTTTGTATATATTAGTTGATTCAGTCCTCACTCCAACCTTATCAGTAAGAGCTATTATTATCCTCAGTTTACAGATGAGGAAACAGAGATGCAGATAAATTGCTTTGCCAAGAGCACACATAATGAGGATGAGGCTCAGAACCTCCAGCCCTTTCTAGGATACCACAGGACTCCTCCTCCCCAAAGAGGGACTTGACTCAACAAGCTTGTATATCTGAGGCTTCTCCTAGCTGTTTCTACAAGAAGCAGTCAGAAAGGGAAAGTCTTGGTGGTCCTTGAGTTTAAACCATACCTTCTTCGGGCACTGGGGAAGAGTGATGAAGAGAAAGAAGCAGAGAGTTGAGAAAATGCCAACCACCAAACATGCAGCTCCAGGCCTAGCCATGGAAGGAATGGCATCAGTGCCTGCCCTTTCTCCCAAGACTGGCTCAGGTACTGTCATG